GAAGAAAAGCTTTGGGAAGAACGACGTGTCCCACAGAACTTCCTTGAATCCCAAACATAGGGTTGAAAGAGTCTATTGGACAATTAGTTTTCTCCCCTTATTACACTTAAAGATGCAAGTAGGAATCACTTGTACCCACTGCCTGATGGAAAGCAGGTAGTAAGACCACCACAGAAGACCACCTTCTCTCTAAGCAATCACTTTGAGGACAGAAGAGATGGAAGATGCCCAACTGTCCACCAGCACAGCAAACCAGCCTGTTTGCTATACTGGTCCTAGAGCACTGGGCCCAACCAGTAGTCAGCATCAGAGCTGACGTTCCTGAAAATGAGACTTTTACCCTAATGCTGAGAATTTTGGTAGAGCATGAAATCAAGCAGGTACACACTAGCACTGAGGTCTCATCTAGAGCTGTATATAGAAGTGGAAAAAAAAAAATACAGTAATGAAACCCAGCAAGTAGTTAGGTCACTGGGAACCAGCATAATGGAAGTGTGGGTGGCAACTGAACAGTCTCTGCCTGTGTGTCATGGCAGCTCTGAAACGCTCCCATCAAGCAGCAAACCACTACAAAATTCAGTGACTTCAGCAGAAAAACAGATGGTCAAAAGCCAGTGTCTTATTGTAAAAGTACCTCAATAGGTGCCGTATGAGCTGCCAGGCTCTTACTCTGCCTTCAACTCGGTGGAAACTCCTGCAAAAATCCTTATGATCTTGACCGGGAGCTGCCAAAGGAGGGAGTTGGCACAAGAAACATCACTGGCCACCGCCAACCAGTGGCTGGTGACCACGGTCGAGACTGTGACAAACTACAATCTACAGAACTGTACACGAGTATATTATTCATAGAGTACCTCAAGTAGCAGGGCCAAGCTGCAGTTGGGTGAAAACAGAGCAGCAATCAGCTGTCCAGAAAAGCAGCTCTTCTTTCAGGTGGCACTGAGAATGCTGAGAAGCCACCTGGAGCTACCAAATACCACATGGCTACTCATTAGCACAGAGTGTTAGTTAGTAAGAAGCCATATATCAAATAGAATGAGCTCTTTACTCTGCAGGAGTACACCTGGGGCTCCTTTCCACACGCAAAGCAGAACACTGCAGCCACTTTCAGCAGCAGTGAGAACATGGGGCCTTCCTTGCCGTCGCTGCAAACCAGCACCAGTGCTGGGAGAACACCACGCCGAGCCCCAGGAACCAAAACACAGCCCAGTGTGATGCTTTGAGTGACACCAACTCCCCGTCAGACACCGGGCTGGAGAGCTTCCTGCAGAGACACCTCCTGTGGCCACCATCTCCGTGCGTCGCCCTCAGGAATGGGATCTCACATGCCCATAAACCTCATTAGTGGAGTGGGTAATTATTTTGCCTGATAACTCAGCACAAGAGAAGCCTGCTCTTCGTGACTCATGCAACCTACCTGTGTCCTCCCAGACACAAGCAGCTCCCAGCTTTAGTGGCTGCACTGCACACCTTGATTTTTACACATAATTACCTGGAATTCCGCATTCCCAGGACACCAGGAAGAGGAGAGGCCAATCGCATCAAAACAAGTGACCTGGAGCTGTTATGAGAATGTGTTTTCGTGCTGTGCACGCCACCGTCTCACGCCTCAGAAGACAAGATAAGGCAGCTATTTTTGCCCTTGGCGCTGGCATTAGGTGCCAAGAGATAAGGGATTCGCAAACAAGAGGAACATTCTGCTCTCTGCCAGCAACACACCACGTTCAACCTACACGGTCTGCCCAAGCCAGGTGTGAAACATCCCAAAATACAGCATCCCCAGGGTAAGACAAGGTTGTTACCATGAGGTTACCAGGTTTTGGAGGGGATGTTTTGGAGCAGGGCTGAAAACAAGCCTTAATAGCAGCATTTTTTATGTTGTTCAGCGGTGCTCTCTGCAGTTTTTGGAGGTCACACTGAGGTGACAGTCTCCCACTCGCAGATGGACATAGAAAACCAGCCCCTACTCCAAGTTCATTTATTGCAGCTATTGGGGAAAAAGCCTCAGGTCCAACTCTCCAAAAAGCTCATTAAAATGGGATTTTAGGTAGGCATGGACATAACCTTAACCCTTTTGCTACAGGAAAGCAAACCATTACACAGCAGCTAACTCCAGAAAGGCACCTGCAGCACCGTGCAACCAGAAACAGTCGCTTTATTCATCTGTCTTAGAATTCAGACGTTTCCATCCGGCTTCCTCTCGACCCCACTCATTTCTAAGAAAAAATGAGGAACACAACATGCCTCAAAACTAATATTAAGTGGAAAAAGGAAGTGGAGGATAAAAGATGAAATTCCTTCAGTGGTCCTCGGGTCTGGGGCGAGGTTGAAATTCCTTCCTTTTTCCTGACAGGCTGCACTTCCACATCCAGCTCCTGCCTGACCCCCGAAGATGCTCCGTCGCCCACGTCACAGCTCTCATTTACAGGATATTCCTCCTCAGCCGGAATGCCCTCCAAAATTACGCAACACCCGGCTTTCCAGGCTCCTCTTAATGCCAGACCTCCCCGGAGGAGCCGGCCCCGCGGGGGATTAAGCCTTTTCCCGGTGACATCTGAGGTCAGGCCCCCCCACGCCCCCCAGCCCATGGGTCCCCAGCTCCCCAGAGGTCAGGGAGGCTGGAGCAGGGCTTCCTCCGAGGGGAGCCCCGCCGGGACAGCCTCCTGCCGCCAGCCGTGATTTAAACTCCGCTGAAGCCACATTTTGGTGGGATTTTTCGTTTTGTTTTTTTTCAAGCATCAACTCAACCAAAGGGAAATCACCTACAACGCCCCAAACAGCCGCCCCCCCCACATCCGCAGCGGCACCGCTAGCTCTCCCCGCAGCCGGGGCTTTCCCTGCCCGTTCCCGGGGTGGGAAGGGGGGGGTCTGGAGCGCGGAGCCGCCCCCCCGAGGCCCAGCCGGGCCTGCCCCCCCCCCGGAGCCGCCGTCCCTCTTCCAACCGTCGCGGCGGCCCCGGGGACGGGGGACAACAGAGGACCCCGGGAGCCCACGGCACGACAGCAAGCGGCAGGGGGGCAGCGCCCCGCCACAGGCCGGCGCGGAGAGGGTGACAACCGCACCGGCCCGAGCCCACCGGTCCCACCAGGCCCCGCCGCCCCCTCAACCGGCGCGGCACGCCGGGAAACCGCCGGTACCTTTGGCCTGGCAGTCGGCGCAGTACTTGTTCTCCTCCTCCACCAGCAGGTTGGCCAGCACCGCCTGGTACCGGTCCACGTCGCGAACCGACTTGCCCGTCATGGCGCGGCCGGCGCAGCCCGCCCGCGGGTCACGGCGCCGCCGTCCCGGGCACCCGCCGCTTCCTGCTTCCGGCCGGGGCGGGGGCGGGGTCAGGAGAGGGAGGAGCCAATAGGCGGCAGCGCGCGGGGCTTTAACGCCTTTCCCCCCCCTCGCCGTTGATTGGCTGCCGCGCGGCCGGCGCCCGC